GCATAGTAGTCTTCAAATAGTAATGCATTTAAGATTTAGGGTATGAGGGGTGTCTGGCTGGCTCAGTTGGTTGAGCGTCTTGACTTCAGCGTCATGATCTCATGGTTTGTGAGTGTGAGCCCTGCCTGAGTCAGACTCTTGTGCTGACAGCTCAGAGCCTGGAACCTACTTTGGATTCTGTGTCTCCCTCTCTGTCCGTCCCTCCCCCACTTGCACTCTGTCTCTTTGTCTCAAAGATAAATAAACATTAAAAAAAAAAAGAATTCGGATATAAGAGTATAGACCCTGAATCAAGTTTTATAGATTTTTATCCATAGATAAAAATCGATTCCTTTTTATATGAAAGAATTCAAGGACAATTTTTGCCTTACTAGCTGACTTTAGAATTTAACCCTGGGAAAAAGCAATCTCACCATAATGTGCGAAATCATAGCCAGCCTGTGAAGTAAATGTAACGTAAGAAGAAGCCAGCCCTCCCTAATGGGTGCTTGGATATATATGCTAACTACAGATAACTTATCTATTCATTTGGGCTTAGACATTTTTTAGGTACCATTAGTGTGCTTGCTGTATTACAGTTAGTATAGGAAATGCAAAATATAAAATAAATACTTAGAAATGTATTTTTATTGGCAAGGCCACATTTCAATGCTCAGTGGGGTTTGGTTAGGAGCTGAGGAACATTCTGGGCTGCCAGTCCCAGCGCCAGGGGCAGGGCTGAGGTACTGTGGTACCATGAGGCACTGGCATTTAAGAGATTATGGTATCTGAAGCCCACAATGTTAAAAAAATTAACCCTTTGTAATACTACTGAGGACGATTCCACTGATCTTCCTAGAAGAAGGATCTTTAATTTTACTAATAAGAACATGAAGCAGGTTAAGAAATCTCCAAGACAATTGGCTGCTTACATAAATAGAACAGTTGGACAAGCTGTGAAAAGCCCAGTTAAACTACGGAAGGTGATCTATCACAGAAAGAGAGTGCATCTTCCTTTTCCAAATCCTTGTTACAGAAAAAAACATCCCCCTAGAAGCAGAGGCCGTGACATGGCAAATAAAGAAAATGAACTGGCTTGTGCAGGCCACTTGCCTGAATTACGCCATGACAGTTGAACATATTTGCTTAATTCCAGTGATTCTGGTTTTTCACAGACAGAAAGCCCATCATCAAAATATAGTTGTTGTTTTTTTTTCCTGAGATTTCTCAGGACCATGAAACAATGGTACAGGTTTTGTTCAGCAGGGATTTGAGACTGAATGTAGCTTTAATGTTCTGAAGAAAGAGAAGTATAAGTGGACTTGGAGCTTATTTGGCGAGGATAGAAGACCTGGGTGTTGTGGATTGCCTTCCTGTGCTCACCAATACTTTACAGGAGAAAAAACAATACATCTCACTTGGCTGCTGTGTAGATTTGTTGCCTCTAGTCAAGTGTCTACTTAAAAGCAAATTTGAAGACCATATAAGAGTTGGTTTAAATTGGCTATGGGGCGCCTGGGTGGCTCAGTCGGTTAAGTGACCGGCTTCGGCTCAGATCATGATCTCGCGGTTCGTGGGTTCGAGCCCCCCCCCCGTCGGGCTCTGTGCTGACTGCCAGCTCAGGGCCTGGAGCCTGTTTCAGAGTCTTTGTCTCCTCCTCTTTCTGTCCTTCTGCTGTTCACGCTGTCTCCCTCTCTCTCTCTCTCTCTCAAAAATAGATAACACGTTAAAAAACATTAAAAAAAATAAACTGGCTTTAAGCAGTCATAAAAAGGTTGTGGTAAGAACTATCAGCCAGAACAGAAATGATAAATGATGGAAATATTCATATTTTAAAGCAACAATTAAGTGGATGATGGAAACAGGAAAATCATCTTCGGTTCAAGGTTGGACTGGTAACATAGCCAAGGATGTAGATGCTTATTTAGTAGACACTGTCTAGTAAAAAAGAGCATTCGATTATTTAAAACATCCCCAGACTAAGATTTCCAAAAAATAAATAAATAAAATAAAAAGTATCATCTGGGCACTGGGAAAAAGAAAACAAAATCTTTTTTTTTCCCTTAAAAAGCCAGATATGAAACCACTAATGAAACTCTAACAATCTACTTTACATTGAAGTGGAAAAATATACAAAAGGATCAGCCTCAACATCAATGAGGTGAAAGTGCACTGTGAACATGGCTCGCCTTTGCTGCATTTGAGACTTAAACGGGTATTTGGTAACACTGTTTAAGAACGTTTAAGAACGACCCTGTCTTAATGCAATCCTGCATAACAGTATAATTTATACTTTGTCAGAAAGAGGACAGGACTTTGTTACTAGGAATCACAAAGACCAATTATCGGTACTTTTTTGAAGATTGCATTTTATCAGAAAGCACTTAAATGGGTGCAGCTATATTTTTATTTTGAAAAAACTTTGCAAGTGTAAAACATCATTGTGAATAATAATTACTAAGAATTTGTGGTCCACACTAAGATACTGTATACAAAATGTTTAATTGTTAATAAGTCAATGTATATGATATGAATATCTGTTTAAAAAATTAAAGCCAACCATGCTCCTGGCATGATAAAATCATGAAATGAAATCAGAGGTTTCCTTTCATGTAGAATGTTGTTCTTAAAACTTATTCCATACCATTTTTAAAACAAGAATATTTTTAGTATGATTTTTTTTGCCAGAATCACTGTGTCATGTATGTGTGTGTTATTCCTATATAAAAGAAAAAGGTGGCTATGTACTTGTATGAATGCTTAACTAAAATGTCCATGGAGTTGGCTAATTTATATTCAGTTTTTAAAAATGTTTTATTTATTTCTGAGAGAGAGAGGGAGATACAGAATCTGAAGCAGGCTCCAGGCTCTGAGCTGGCTGTCAGCACAGAGCCCTATGTGGGGCTTGAACCCATGAACCGTGAGATCATGACCTGAGCCGGAGTTGGACGCTTAACCGACTGAGCCATCCAGGAGCCCCTATATTCACTTTTTATTGTATATAGATTTCTAATATTTTCAGTTCTGTACCATTGAAGCTTTCTTCATTTGAGTAAATTCACTGAATAGTTCTATAAAGAAATATATTTTTATTAATATCACCTTTTCAAGCAAGCCTTAATCACTTTTCATTCATTTATTCACTCATCTGTCCCTCTCCTCTTTCTCTCCTTTCTTTCTGTCTATTCATAATTCATTCATTACTATGTGTTAGGTATGTGGTCCAAACAAAACAAACTATAACCTAAACATGCTCAGCTTATGCCCTTTAAATGACCAAGAAGCAGTTGCATTTCTCAGTGTGCCTTCCCTCTTAGAAACACTCCTGGGCACCTGTGTGGCTCAGTCAGTTAGGCATGTGACTCTTGATTTACGTTCAGATCACGACCTCATGAGTAGTGAGTTCTAGCCCCAAATCCGGCTCTGTGCTGATGGTACAGAGCCTGCTTGGTGTTCTCTCTTTCTCTGCCCTTCACCTGCACCCTCTCTTTCTCTCTCTCTCTCTCTCAAAAACAAACAAATAAATAAAATAAGAAATGTGCCAAGTATTAGTCAGTGGAATGAGGTCTTTTGCCTAAAACCATAGGAAAATTTAAGATGCAAAGAATTATGTCTTGATACTTATATTTTAGAATTCTAATAGATAAAATTGTGGCAAAAGAAGAAGATTAAAAGAATCTCTTGAATTTCGTAGATGTATTTGCTTTTCATCATGACACTTTCTTTTATTGATAATAATAGAAATAATGTGTTTAGCTCTTAAAATTGTCCATCTGTTATCAAGCTAGGAGACCAATTGCAGTTGTCTGTATTCTATTTTTATGTTTCCACATTTAAACTTTTCTTAGTAAGAATTCCTGTGTTTTAATTTCTAAATGTCCAACAGTATAAATAGGATTAGTTTGATGCCCAAATGCTATTCTGTTCAAATTAAAATTTCTAAGCCATAAATTTACCAGACTATTATTAAACAAATCCTGTAAGAAGAATCCAGGCCAATAAGGTGAGGAAGTTCACTCTACATCTCATTCTGAAGGAAACACATTTATATTCCCTCAATGCAATAAAGTAATACCCAACAGAAAAGAACTCTGGTGGAGGCAAGGATATTGTCACATTTTAGAAAGACATCTTAACATATTTAATTCATTTAAATTTTATGATGCACTTGCAGTTTGTATATCCAGGAAAATGAACATATGACTCATGTTTTCCACATAGATAAAACAAAAAACAAAATTACTGACAAGCTTATTAACAAATTTATAAGCTTTTCTACTGTAGAATGCACTCAGTTTTGTAAATCTTGAAAAACAATTTTAAGAGATTATTTTTTTTATCAAAATAGGCATCTCTGGACATAGAACTTAAAGTGTGAGGTAAGCAAGTTAATGATAATTTTTAAAAATTTTTTAACATTTATTCATTTTTGACAGAGACAGACCATGAGCAGGGAGGGGCAGAGAGAGAGGAAGACACAGAATTTGATGCAGGCTCCAGGCTCTAAACTGTCAGCACAGAGCCCAACACCTGAGCTGAAGGGATGCTCGACCGACTGAGCCAGCCAGGCGTCCCATTCAATTTTAAACATATAAGTGATGATAAAGGTCTATAAATTTTATGTGAGTGTTTCACTAAACCATCTAATAAAATTTGGAACCCAATGGAATGTTGTTTTCTAGAGCTCTCTTTTAAAGGTGAAGAGACAAAAGAAAAGAAAGTTTTGCTTATTCCTTTTTTAGTAATGTTTGCATTTAATAAGCATGACAATTTACAGTTCACAAAAGGTTGTTTTATGTTTCTCTTTGCCACCTTCACTGCTTCAGTATCTGTGTAAATGTTTCCAAACTGAACAACGGAATGTCTTAAAATAGATACATTTGGAAAGGAAATATTAATATCAATAAAAAGGATAAAAATAAAAGCAAAGAGAAATAGAAATTTGAAGAATGGTAGCATGAAGAAAAGAATACATTAGTAGATGGAAAGAAAAAAGTAGATTTTTTTTAATTTACCTGAATATTAACTTTCTGGATTAGCAAAGCAGTTAAACAATGTTGATAGTAATCTGAAGGCTCAAATTTAAAGACAATGTCAACCTGAAATTGATGATAAATAGGAAGTAGTGTCCTAGTACATTATTGTAGTATAATCCACATCTAAATCACATCATAAAGATGAGGACTCAGATAATATGAAAGCCATATAATTGAAGTTGCGTGTTTGAAGTCAAAAGTTCTTTCCTAACATGGAAGAAATTTCTATAGTCATTGAGTAGGTGGATCCCAGAGGACTAGAAAACTACTAAAAGAGAAAAATGACCTATCAGATAATAATTAAAATCACCTGCAGGCTTAGCATGGGTGATATAATATACCACAATCTTTAGAATGCCATGGAGACATCTAGTAAAATACCCCTTTCTTCATAAAATCTATTTTTCAAAAGGTTACTTGATAATATTTTCCATGAAGTATTTCCAACTCTATATTGAAAATGAATAGATGAATGGCATTTTCCTTATTCTGAAACTGTCTTGAAAGTCAACGTTATGGAATATATTTCTTCAATAAACCCAAGGAGTTAGGGGAGGGAAAAAAAATCAGACATGAGATGTAAATAATAACAAGTGAAGAAAATCTAACAAGTATAGAGATGAAAGAAAATTGAAGGGCAGAAATATAAATGCTGTAATTTTATCTCTACTTTTTCTCCTGAATGATGTTGAATGCAACAATTAACCTGACACTAACCTCCACCTACACTTCCCATTGACTCAATGGGAGCTCTTTACAGAGTTACAATTATGAGCTGCACATAATACAAAACTGTTCCCTTGCTCACTTACCATCTCTCTTATTCTTTAAATGTTTTATCTCATCTACTAAGATGAAGGTTTTGCTGACGTCAAATGCAGATAATTTATTTCATAAGAGCTATAACATTTATATACATCCTATATGAAAATTAAAGATAAATCTCATGTCTTTGCTTAAAATATGTCTTACACATATGAATCTTTGTCTTATATAAACACTTGTCTGCATACAAATGGCAATCACTTTGCGCTAACACATTACGATGCTGGAAGTCTATGGTCGGAATGTTGTCCAAATAAAGACTTGGGGTAAAGAGAGGATTTCTCCTACCTGATAATATAATCTCTACAGGCTCAGAGACATGTTCCATTTTTTTTTCCTGGGTTTTATCTGTAATTTAAAAATTGGTGTTAATAGTAACTCTAACAGAACTGACATAAATAATTCAGTGTATGCACTGCCATTTAAATCTCTATAGCTACTCTCTCTCCTCACCTAGTCCATTTTCTTCAAAACATTTTGACTGAAGGAACATATCATGATTTCAAAACTCATCTTGGAATGAAGAGGTTTCCTCACTAATTTCCTAAAGCCTTTCTTAATGAACATCTTATCCTTGGTGTAATGCCTATATTTTGTTTATGTCCTATGCACATTAAAATTTCTTATCTCCTAATTAAAAAAAAATGGTAGTCAGTGCCATCTAAGCAATGAATTGAGCTATAGGTTGGTGTAAATGTCTATATTTATAAAGTCAGAATGGATTGATTTCTTCAGATGTGACTAGAACATCACTCATGGATATAGATAATTTTGACTGTGTTATCCAATTTAGAACTTGTAATCATTTTTGTGTAATAAATTTTAATATACTATTTCAAGAAGAGCCACATATCACTTTCTCACTCAAAAAAAGCTCTATGCGCCTCCTGAATAAATTCTAAAGTTCTGAGAGTGACTCCCAAGGCGTCCAACAGTCCCTGCCATTCCCCTTCCCTACCAGTCTCCTTCTAGTCTTAACATTTAGTTACTTCTTTCATGTCTTCCATGTTCCAGTAAAGTGGACTGTTTCAACAATAACATACATGCCATTGTTTCCTGACTCCACACATTAACATGCTCTGTCAGTTTAACTAAAATGTCTTCTGATTCTATCTCCATCTTAAAAAATCCTCCTATTTATATAGACTCAGCATAAATGCCATCTTTTCTATAAAGTCTTCCATGTTCCACATAATGCTTTGTTTGTATGTCTTGTATGTTGCATTTACCATACCCTACCCTGTTTTGCAGATAGTTGTAATCTCAAATGTAATCTCTCTGTATCTCATTTACCACACTGTTGGTTAGATGTGATGTTCTTTACCATCTTTTATGGCTCTAAAATACTATTATATTTTATTTTGACTCTAGAGAAACACAGTGGATGCAACTCGTTCAATTATACATATGTTAATATCATCATTTTCTTTTTATAAAGTTATTAGAGGGGCTCCTGGGTGGCTCAGTTGGTTGAGCATTCAACTTTGGCTCAGGTCATGATCTCATGGTTCATGGGTTCGAGCCCCATGTTAGGCTCTGAGCTGACAGCTAGCCTGTTTCAGATTCTGTGTCCCCCCCTCTTTCTGACCCTCCCCTGCTCATGCTGTCTCTCTCTCAGAAATAAATAAAACTTTAAAAATGTGTTTTAAAAATAAATAAAATAAATAAAGAGTAATTAGATTGCTTTCTCTCTATGTAGACCAAATAGAGTACTGGCACATGTATTTACTAAGTAAAATCACATAATCTTAAGGAAAAAGAAATCAGCTTCAAACAAATTTTTTAGTAGGCCTAGTATAATTTACAAAACGTTAAAAATAAAAAAATATAGGATTAGTATGTATTGCTTCAGACAAATGATGGCCCTCCCTATCAGAAAACCCTGGCCAGGAAGTTTGCCAGAGTTGAGTGTTCCCTTCAGCCATGTTTATTCACTCAGACAGTCATGATCGAAAAGATGACTTTCCCAATATCAGTTCAGTCCTATAGGAAGGAAATAAGGACAGTAAACAATGGCTAAAGTATAGAGTGTTATGATCTACTTTGAAGAACATGAAAGAGAGTAATTCACAAAGCCATTCAGAGTCCACAGTTTGGCATTTAAGGGATTCGAGATCAGAATACCTCATGTGGCCCTGGCATTATCAGTGAACTCAGGAGAAGAAAAGTTCCTCTAAGACTGACTGAACCTGATCTATATCCACTTTTATCAACTCTATGAAATAGTTGCTTCAGATAGTTTCTGCTCTTCCCAGACCCACTTTTATCTCAACAGATGAGCTTGTTTCCTACATCACTGAAATCATAGAAGCCTTCCAGTGGGAGCTTTGCCAATCACTTCACAAACTCTGCGAACCTTCCTGCAACAGCATCTATTCTCTCATCTTCTGGTCCAAGGAAGGAATTATCCTCCTCTAACCAAGACCTATCTTGCTACCTGCTCTCTGGATCCCTCGTATCCTCTCCTGCTGTCTTGGTAACCATATGCCACCCATTATTGTTTCTCCTGTATCTTCAACCTTCCATCCCTGGTAGCTACTTCTCCCTTAAAAGTATTTAAATATGCTCAAGGATCTCCCTAAGCACACCATAAATATTTCATCTTTGGAGAAGTTTTTCCGAATCTCCAGATTGGTTTAGGTTATAGACTCTCACTGCACCATGTACTTTCCTTAATAGCATTTTATAATTTTTTAAATTGAGAAATAATCCAATGAATACCAATAATTCCAATAGGGTACTTGTGGTCTTAAAAATTGCTTTATCATCAATGCTTAGCACATGGTCATCACTTGACATAACATCACAGTATGAATGATGTATTTTCCTTTCTCTCTCTCTCTCTCTCTCCCTCTCTCTCTCTCTCTCCTGAAACAAATGGCTTCCATAAGAATTTGTAATAAAAATTTCCCCTACGTTTTAAAAGAAGCACCAATATGTTGATTGTTCTGGTGTTTGCAGAGAGGTACAGGAAGGAGTAGTAGAGGGAGAAAAGAAGAAAGAGTCTACGGTGGTGGCCACTGTTTACTGTGAATTGTCCACATACACAGACACCTCTTCCCTTGAGAGGTCTTCCCCTGTGTTCTCCAGGGATCAGGGAAAACAAACACCTTAGTTTAATAAACACCATTGTTTATTAAAACAACTGAAAAATAGTATGCCTTACATTAAAGCTCCACATTCATTTTTTATATTATCCCTTTAAATGTTTTTTAATGTTTTATTCATTTTTGAGAGAGATATAGAGACAGCATGAGCAGGGGAGGGTCAGAGAGAGAGGGAGATACAGAATCTGGAGACAGGCTCTGAGCTAGCTGTCAGCACAGAGCCTGACGCGGGGCTTGAACCCACAAACCATGAGATCATGACCTGAGCTGAAGTCGGGTGCTTTACCGACTCAGCCACCCAGGTGCCCCTATCCCTTTGATATATAATTATTTGTGACAATGTATGACACTAATTCATTTGCAAAGTTCAAAACTAACTTTAGTATAGAAATTCAAGGATGAATATTTGTACACACATATACATACATGCAACACACACACGCACAAACACACATTTAAAGTAGAAACCAAATAGAGATTAAAATAAAAAATACTAGTAGGGGCGCCTGGGTGGCTTAGTCGGTTAAGCGTCCGACTTTCGCTTAGGTCATGATCTTGCAGTTCGTGGGTTCGAGCCCCGTCGGGCTCTGTGCTGACTGCCAGCTCAGAGCCTGGAGCCTATTTCAGAGTCTGTGTCTCCCTCTCTCTCTGACCCTCCCCTGCTCACGCTGTCTCTCTCTCTCCTAGGAATAAATAAAAAAAAATATTAAAAAAAAATACCAGTAGTCTGTTAGGATAGAGATGATTTTTGTAATCCTGTATAAATACACATTTGACACTGATTGTAGCTGCAATAAATATAAGACCAGTAGAGAGCACTGCTTGCACTAAATTTTTAAATATTCTTTTGAATACTAACTAGTGACAACATTTAATGAAAGAATATTGTTTTTCATTTTAAATATTACTTAGATTTTTCTCCAATTAGTAACCAATGTGTTATTTTTATTTGAAACTAAGGTACTTAAACAACTCCTTTTGTTTTCATTATGTTCCTATCTCATTTCATTTGATGGAAATAGAAAAATCAATAAAAAAATCTAAGAGTGAATATTTAAGCCTTTAATTTTTAACTTGCTTCAGACATATATACTGTTAGCTTGTTAGGTGGAAATTATGGTAATCATCGTTGACTTACTGAATTGCTGGATGGTGCATCATACCACATATTTTTAACAGAATAATGGATATCAGTCAATGGCAACTAATTTTTTAAAATTACTTTGGCATCTTAGGTTTCAAAATTTCAATGAAATATAACATTTCTGTAGGTAAAAGGTATCAGCTGGTGTATGATAGAACATTGACAATGGAGCAGGAATAAAATGGCCACAGTTATTAAATCTGGAAGCATATCAATGAGAATGGTCATGTTTAGCACTGCACTATACAGAAGTACAAGACTATCACTGAGTGGATTTCTGTTCATTATGATGATACAAATAAGAAAGATTATCAGTTGTATCATTGTTTGACATGCAAAAACCTAGAAACAACCTGGAAGGACACCTGTAAGGGACTATTTCAATGGAATTTTATGAAGTACTTAGGAAATATTATATATATCTATATGTATTGCTATGAAAATATCATTATATAAAATAATCAAGGTGTAGATATGGTGTATACTATAAAGCTATTTGAGCTTTTTTAAATTTTTATTTATTTATTTTGAGAGAGAGTGCGTGCGCACGAATGGGGAAGGGGCAGAGAGAGTCGAGGGAGAGAGAATCTGAAGCAGGCTCTGTACTGTCAACATAGAGATCAGCACAGGGCTTGATCCCACCAACCGTGAAATCATGGCCTGAGACAAAATCAAGATTTAGATGCTTGACCCACTGAGCCACCCAGGTGTCCCAAAGCTATTTGAGCTCTTAAAAAAGATATGTGCATACACGTGTGTGTATCTATATAAATTGAAATATTGTATAAATTTAATATATGTATGCTATACTATACTATAATATAATATGATATAACATGTATAAGTTTTGGAAGAATACACCAAAAAATCCCTGTTAACATTTGTTACTTGCAATGAGTGAGAGAGCCTTCGTAGTATCTTTTGAGAATTGTTTTCTATGTGCATTGTCTTACACTTAAAATTTCAAAACAAAAATACTTGTTAAAAAAAGAATATAGAAACTATATAAAATATTTAATAGAATAGCTTACTTACTTGTCCTAGATAAATGGTAGAGATTTGTTTACTCTCCCCATTTTGGCATTTATCTGCCAAAAATATTTGTTTGGCTTGATTTGCCACTACTGATCAATGCCAAATTCCAGGTGACAGAAACCTAACAATAATCGGAGTTAAAATCATTTTTATTTGCCTTACTTTTTTCTTACTCTAATTAAATCCTCAAGAAGCCAAAATACAAGTTATAATTGGATTTATTATGTGACTACAGGTTTTGAGTAAAAAGTAAAATTAAGAAATCTTTGAAAAAGGAAATTTCTCAGAGACACTATTTTAGGAGGCAGATCTACCTTGTAACTACAGACTCTGGACAAGGTAGGGTAAGACTATAAGTATCAAAAAGGGCCACTGACATGGGCAGATGGTAAGAGTTCATCCAGGACCAGAAAGGCAGGGAAGGCAGAAAAGCTGAAAGAGGGGAACTTACTTTAAAAAAGCACAGGGGTGCCTAGGTGGCTCAGTTGGTTAAGTGGTCTACTTCAGCTCAGGTCATGATTTCACAGCTTGTGGGTTCAAGCCACGTAGGGTTCTGTGCTGACAGCTGGAGCCTGCTTCAGATTCTCGGTCTCCCTCTCTCTCTGCCCCTCCACCCTCACATTCTCTCTCTCTCAAAGATAAATAAACATTAAAAAAAATGTTAAAGCATAATTTAAGCCCATTGCTAAATTACGAAAAAAAAAAAATCCCACAAAAACACAAAAACAAAAGCCCCACAAAACTAAAAACCAAAAAATGCTTCGGGCAGGGGTCAGAAATTTAAATGCAAATCAATTAAAATTGTAGCAATTTTTGCTTTAAATTGCAGCATTAGAGGATGAAAATGAGAGTTTTAAACTCTCTTCTGAATGTGCTGTCCATGCTAATTTTGCATTTTGCTGTTAAACTTGCTAATTACTGATATATATGTCCCTCAGCACACCTACAATAAATTCTGTTACGAGCTTCAATTACTGTACTGTGTCACAATCTGGGAAAAATTCAAGGATGCCCTTTTCATCTGTTTCTCCCCAATATTCTTAATTCCATAGCACCATAATTAGAGAAAAATAAGGGAGTTGAGTTGGATTTGTTTTAAAGTCAGGATTGAGGTGGTTTTCAATAAAAAGCCATGTAAACCATATTTTAAATGAAGCTGAAGACCCAAACAAACAAACAAACAAGCAAGCCTTGGCCATAATTAGTGCCCTTTCCAAGGATCAAGGTAAAAGTGTTGTCTCTTTATTATAGTCATATTCTCTAACAATACAGATGCCTGATTACAACGATCAGATCTCTCCTTTTTCTTTAGTTTCGCAACTAAAGATCCTGGCCCACTTGGTTAGCAATCCTTTGATTCAAAACTGCAAAGAGTAGCTTCCTGTTGAAAAGTATAACATTTTATACTAGTCAGCACTCCATCTACCAACTATGGGGTAGATTTGTCATTTAAACAAATTTTCTATCAAGTACAATGTGACCTATTTTCTGACCATTCTAAAGTAGACTTAGCCCCTGAGGGATATTTCATCATAACTTCCTATTTTATTTTCTTTGTGTACTTTGTGGTAAATGTTTAACTTTCCAGAGTGAGGAAGAAGAAGAAGAAAAAAAAACAACCTCAGTGTATAGTATTTCCCAATGCACAGGGCATAAATGTTCCCACCATGGCCAACTGCATGTGATGTCACCGAAAGCACTGTTGGAACATTATGAACATAATTGGAGCTTGTGAACGGTGTGAACTGGTTTCAGTAGATCACTGTTTGTGGTCATTACCACTGCCTAAGATCACCTAGTATAATGACTGTTTCTTTGTATTTTATCTGTTGCCCTTCATAAAAACTAAGGTGTATCAGAAAAGGGACTTCTCCCATTTTACCATTGAATCGCTCCAGCCATAAAACAGTGCCTGGCGCATAGCAAGGACATAGTAAGCAATTTTTTTGTAAAACACGCAATCTGCCACTCAAAATTGAATATGTTAAAATTTTTAAAATGTAATAGTAACAATCGCTTTTATTAAAACTTTCCTAAATAAAGGTTATGGATTTTAAACATTTGGAACTATCTCCTAAGGAGATGTGAGAAAGAGATAAATCTAGTATGACTTGTAAAAATCATTTTATCTTGCCTCTCTCAAATCTCTTAGGCTTTCTCAATGGTATAAATATGAGGTTGGAACATAAAGAAAAAAAAGAAACTTGTAAGCTTTGAATTTAAATTTCATTATAAAAAGATCAGTCATAATTAGCAATTGTGAAAACAGAAAATGTTCATTTCAAAATGAAACAAAAACATCATTTTATATTCAATTAGTTAAGTAGACATAAATAAAATACCCTAGTACCAGAAAGACTTTGGACTATTATATATGCCATTGCCTGTGGCAGAATCAGAGTAAAAGTTAAATATTATACTTAACGATTTGCAAGATAACTGGTAACGTAAAAAAATGCAAATATTACCTTACCACTGAGGAAAAATTACTCATATTTCAAATTTCTCTCCATGTCTTTATTTGTTTCTCCTAAAAGAAATAAAAAATAAGTAGAATTGACTTTTTGTATTTTTATTTCATCTTTACTTTTCTAACATCCAACTCTGAAGTAGTAACTCTTCATTTCATTCTGATGTGAGTGATTTTTAATGTCGATGCTACAATGTTTTTTCCTTCCCGCATTGTACTGTCTACATTTTATTGTATGATGAGCACAAAGTAATTCATGGTTCATGAATTCAAACGTTCATTACATTTCTGTTAATTATATTATCTTTCACCACTTGACTGTCGAAGGCCCTCTTTAGGCTTGTTTTTCTTTTACTCCAAATTAAACAGCTTTTTTCCCCCCCAAACATATACCATGTCTGTTTTCCCATCCCTGGTTTTGTTCTCTGCTTCTGGGAATGCCCTTCTCCCTATCACTGTCTTTTGTTAATGTTATTCTAGACCCAGTTCAGTCATCAAATCACTCATTCTTTGCACAGCACTTAGTCACTAATTGATCTCTTTTGTGTTTATTACTTTATTGTCTTTCTCTCTCCTGAAGATATAGACTAAATGAGAATAGGGCTTTTCTTGTTTACTGCAATACCCCAGTGCCTAGAACATTGCCTAGCATATAGTAAGTACATTAAGCACTTGTTAAATGAACAAACAAGTAATTATCAAAACAGATCTAAGGATTAAATAAATATAGTAAGATTCTCTATTTATGATGATTAAAAAACAGAAACATTTATATTCCAAAATATAGGTTGTCACTTCATCTTAATCTAGTGTTATTTTGACAAAGCTGTGAGAATTAAGGAAGATAATGTGATATCTTGAGTCAGTCAAAAATAATTTCTAACACCTAAGGCTGAAAGAATTCCAGTTGCAAGGTGCTATTTTCCTCATATGAAACTGTGCTTATTATACTCCATTTATAATCTAACTAAACTCATTTTCTTGATATACTAATTCTTTATGCAAACCCTCACTTGATTTTGTCATAATTCAAAAAGATTCAATTAAGTGAAACAGACCTTAACATAGTTTTGAATGACTTTTTAAGCAAAAACAGATTTTATATTTCAAAGTAGGTAGTCATTTTAGAATTAATGTATATGCATATAGAATGGATTCATATCATAGTTCTTTTCTTCTTTGAACTAAATTTCTTCCATGCATTCCTCTCTTTGAGGGTAACTCAAGCATAACAAAAAAAAAGAGAAAGGATATTTTATATATATATTACATATATATAATATACATATTGCATATATAATTACATATATAATACATAAGGCTGAAATCCTAAATCTTCAGTAATACAAAATAAGGTGTACTATTTCTCAGCAGAAAGCACGGGGGCTCTTGAACCTGGGTGCTACTATTCTTAAACAAGGTGCTTAGCCTCTCTGCCTCAGAGAAGTTACTTATCAATAAAATGGGATAACAATACCAACTTTTTGGACTAAAAAGAGGAGAGAGAAACCAACCTAGCACTAAGCCTAGCATATATTAAGTGCTCAATAAGTATTTATTGAATTAATCAATTCCATTGAAAATATAGTTACCACTGAACTAATATACTACATGATTTAATGAAAGGTTGTAGTGATTGTGTAACCCAATAGCTAAGGTAAAAGTGTAATTTCAGGTGTTTTATAATTCCCTGATTAATACACAATCAACAAAGCAAAACACATATGAACAGACCAAATATATTGACCCTGATGAAATACTATGGTTAGTATAGTAGTGATCCAGGCAATTTTTCATTGCCTGGATAGACACCTAAGTATGATCACATCTACTGAAGCAAAAGATAAGGAACTTTTATTATTTCTCTGCATGTTTTAAGTAGAAATTCACAAATACTGTTGGAGATAATTATTCATATTGCATAAAAAATAAACTCTAACAGATAATGCAGGGTTTGCTGTTAATTTTCTACATCTACATACACATAAGCTAAGGCATTGAACTTGCCACTACTAAAAATAATAACTAATGAATATATCGTGATTCGTGCTTTCTCTTACTATTTCTTTTAATCCTTACAAAAACCCTACAGAGGTAACATAGAGAGAGAATGATAGAGCAAATTTCCAATTAGGGAGCTCAAGATATAAGTATAGAAACATGCTATAAAATGTTTGGTGCTAGGGATATATCAGAAAAACAAAAAGACAAAAAGCCTAATTTCGTAGACCTCACAATCTGGGATCTGTGTTGAAATAGGTACAATTATGGCTTTTAGACTTATGAATCAAGCCGCTCAAATACATATTCGTAATAAACTACATTGTTAAAAGAGCTACATTAGTGACCAAGGGATTTGTATGTTCTTTTCATCTTCAATTATTGAATGAGGTTTGATATTTTGTGCAAATGCACAGAACATACTCTGCTTTTATTGTGCACAATTTAACTTTTTCTGTTTCTTGATTTAGGGGATGTGAATAATGAAAACCAGAATTGTTGCTTCTTCCTTTCCTTTCTATGCTGCTTAGAGTACTTACTGCATGGAATTCTCATAGCTTGTTCATTTTTTGTTCCTAACCTGGACTGAGCACTGTCCAGGGAGAGAGCCACATCTCTTTAATCTCTGCATGGCCAGCACCTAGCATGGTTCTTGCTGGACAGTTCAGGTGGGATGTATGTTTGTTGTATCAGTAAATGTATATATACTTTACTCTTTACAAAGCACATTCACATGCACAATGTCATTAGACCTTCACAAAACTCAGGTCGATTGCAGGGTAGAATTAGCTCTCTCATTTTACAGAATCTCAGTGAAATTGAAGGTTATTAATTCCTTTGTTTGACAGATGAGAAAAGGGGATCAGTGAGAGATTACCTGATTTCTGAAGAGCACGTAACTAAGACTTGAATGTCAAGATCGGGGTTCTTTGTTAAACACTAAGTAAAAACATAGGCATTTTGAACTACTATTTTAAGTATGTTTTTAGGATCTATTTGGTGTATAGCCAGCCATCTTTAACTTGTTCAAATCATTGGTGAAATCTTGCCTTTTTTTTTCAAATATCAAAAATGGGATGGAAAAGATCTTTAGAAGCCAGGTGGTTTCTCTAATCCAAAGACAATGAAGTAGATAATATGCAAATATTTTGCTATAAAACAGTGTCTGCCTCTAAGAGTAGATTGCTAGCCAAAACAATTCTGCTTTGTCATAGGGAAGTGGATGGAGGCAGACTTGTCATTTCCAGTCGTCAACCCACAGTCATCACCATTCTGCTTAAATAAAATTTCTATATGCTTCTTATTTTCTTGATCAGGAGATTAAAGTCCCGACAGTGGCAAAGTAGTGAAAGCATTCTGTTGGGGTGAGGGGGTTACAGCCAGTATTTGAAGATTTTAGTCATGGAATCTTGATCAACTGACTCTAAAATGACCCTTTTAATAGCATCATCTCCCACTAGACCACAGGCTACATGAAGGCAGGAAATGTCCTGAACCCTCAAGTCAGGCCATCGTACATGGCATGGAACACTCCTAGCTAATTTCCTGTCACACAAGCTAATTAATCAATCAGTAAATGGCAACTCTCAGTAACCACTGGCTATAATTTAACCCGACAAACTGCTAGGTACATGGTACATGTTTTCCAAACTGAGTGATAGAAACTTCTCTTTGTGTTTTTTATTCAAAATCTTTTTTAAGAAGTTTGTAATTTTCTAGGCAAGACACTCAGGTCATTAATGGAGACCTAGTGATGGAACCCTGGCCTTAAGACAGTTATCTTGTATACTGTTACACATCGACATTCCAAAGAGGGGGGGGCTTTAACAGAAATTAACAGCAACTATAATGAAATCCCAGTATTTCTGACCTAGAAGCATTTTTTCTCTAAGGGATGGGATTACAGGTTTGACAATTTCTCTTAATCTGAAAAAAAAAAAAATCCATCTCTCTCCCTCCCTCTCCCCCATCTCCTTTCAGTCAGCCTCCCCCTCCCCCTCCCCCCCCCCACGCACGGACACTCTGATCATTTTATTTGAGTGGAAAGTTGAAAGAGAACAACACACTGGCTGCACCCATCCAGCGCTCTTTGGGGTGGAATTGCAAAGTTCTAAGGCTGAGCCTTCCTGCCCGGAGCCCGCGATGCAGCCTCCTTCCGATACCTGCTCAGCTTCACGCCGCAACTGAAGGTCCGCCCGCCGCGGAACAGTTGCGTCTCCATCTGGCTGCCAACCCACCCAAGCTTTCTTCTCCCCCCCCACCACCACCTTCCCTCCTTCCCCCCTCCTCCCCCTCCTTTCCGTCTTCCCTCTCCACCCCCGCCCCCAATCTCCTCCTCTTTTTCTCACTACAAGCGGTTGCTGATGCTGAAGCCGAGCGTCACTTCGGCTCCCACGGCAGACATGGCGACATTGACAGTGGTCCAGCCGCTCACTCTGGACAGAGGTAAGGGAGCGGCTCGCCCGCCAGGCCACCGCGTCCCCCGTGCCTCGCACTCTGCCCCCGACAACTCCCACCGGGACAGCCGGACGCGCTCGGCCGGGGGCAGCGGGGCGGGCGAGGACCGGCGAAAACCAGCGTAGAAGGCGTTCGCGCCGCGAGCAGGACACTTTCTTCCCCTTCCTCCGCCCGCCGCGTCCCCGCTGCCCCCGCACGCTGCCCTCACCCGGCCGCGAGGTGCCTTCGTCGGGCTCTGGCGCCCCCGCCGCCGCTCCCAGCCCCGCGCCGGGTCGCCCGGGGGCCGCCGGCTTTGTTGCGGCTGAGGCGCGGGGACCGGTGGGCGCCCGGGCTCGGGGTTGGAGCGGGGCAGGGAGGGAGCTCGCCGCGCCGGGCGAGGGCGCCTGCGGCCGGAGACCAGGGAAGCCTGGCGAGCGAGCCGCCCGCCCGCCAGCGCGGCCCGGGGGGTCCGGGAGGGAGGAAGTTTGTCCGGGGCGCCGGGGAGGACGAAGGTCGGTCTGGCTGCGGGTGCTCGGGCGGCCGCCCGGGGGCGGCGGAGGCGCCCCGGGGTGGCCTGTGCCGGGGCGCACGGCGGCCGGGCTGCGGCGGCGGGGAGTCGCCCTCGGCCGAAAGGGCAGCGCGGAGCGCGGGCAGCAGTGCCCGGACCAGGGGCGCAGCGTCGCTGCGGCGGAGCCCGGCTCTCTCCGGCTCCGTGCTCCGCAGCTCCCCGGCGGTGGCAACTCAGTTTCTCTTGCCCCAGCCAGCCTGGTTTCCCCCCCAGCCCGGGCGCCAGCGCGATGCTCGGGCTGCGGAAGGCGCTGGGACGCTGCGCAGGCTGGGTTGAAATTCAACTTCTGACCCGCGATCCTGTGCGTCCTGCTCTCTGACTTGAATGGGGAAGCAGCGCTTGCTTCCTCGCGGAGCCTTGCCGAGCCTCAGGCTAGAATCCTCCGCTGCGCCGGGGGCCTCTCTGGAGCGCGCGTGCGAGGGTGTACCTGTCCCTGTGTGCACAGCTTTCCTGTCTGGCTTCCGACGTCTAGTTCTGTTGGCGCCGGAGTCCCACGCCGCCGCCGCAGCGGAGGACACCTGCTCGTCCCGGTCCGCAGCGGCCGGATTTAGGACCCTGGGCGGCCATTTGGAAATGGTGTGCTCAGTCGAAGATGATTTAGTCCGATATGCCTCTAAAAATATTCTTCTAGCGGATTAAACTGAACTGTGGAGCAAAGCAAAAGAGCATCCTGCGGCGAGTACAGTGCAAAAGCCAGTGAACTCAGTGGGGTTTTAATTTGGAGAGATTGTGGATGACTTTAACGCAATCTGTTGGCGCCAGGACAGATATTATGTGGTGCCCTTAGCAACCTTACTTGGGGTAAGAGTTGAAAAATTTTAAAAAAAGAAAAAAAAATAATTGATTTTATGTTGGGAAATGTTGATTTGCAAGTTAGCAAATTAAGAACAGTAGTTAAAGAGCTCAGAAATCCACGCTGTAATCCATAATTTCACCCCAGTATCATCATCTACACTAAGCAGGATAAATCCATTGCCACTAAGGGCCAAACAGATGGCATGCTATTAGAAAATATGGATTTCCCATGAATTTCTGTTTTAATGTAATGAGCTCTTATATTGTCCCATTACTAAATCAGTCTTTAAACATCCCAAGTAAAACGACATTGGGAGAAAAAAACAAACTCCAAGAAAATTGCATACCTGAGCAATTTTATATATTGCTACTACTGAAAATTCACTTTCTGGATTTTATCCTGGCCGGTAGGTTCCTTATTCAGTTGTGGAGAAGAAGCATGGTCAGACCTAGATCTATTCTTAAAGTTTGTTTTTGTTCACAGCCAGACAGTACCTGTCCCTTCCAGTGTGATTAGGTCCGTTTAGTAAGTAGCTCAAGAGGCAAAAGGAGGCTGTGGATGTAACAGCAAATTAACCAGCAGCTAACTGCAAAGTCTGTCATTAATGGATGATGGGTTATTGGCATCATTGCTGTGCATGAAGTCAATATGTATAAATCTTTTTCCTCTACCTTATTAAAATATGATTAATTAATTGATTAATAGCATCATTAAACCAATGAAAGGAGGGGTTCTGAAAATGTTCCTGCAGAAAAAGGAAAAGTATTTTTAAAAAGGCAGCACCATAATAATTACCTGGTTATAACTGTCATACTTACATTGGATGGCTTGGTTATCACCTTTGGGCATCAGTTGTTGTTTGTTTGTTTTGTGTGCGTGTGCGGTAAACATTCTAAAATTTAATTTAAAACCCCTAAGGAATTTAGGTTAGATGATTCTGACACTGTACAGCTTTAACAGTCTGTAATTCTATTAGTTACAATTAGAACTCAGTGTCTGGTCATCTACTGCAAGATTTTCCAGATTACTCCCTCTCCTAGGTTGTTGTGGTGCCCTTTGATGTGCTTGGAGGTCACTCACAGATTTGGCCCCATCAAAGCATGCTGATTATCTGTCTCTCCATTGAATGATGCTCCTTGAGGGAAGAGACCATTTCTAAAATTATCTTGGTATTCTCTGTGCCTGCCATAGTTCCTGACTCACAGTAGAAGATCAAAAATTCATATAAGTTAGTGTAAGTGAACTACGGACTGCAGTGATTTAAGCACTGTTAAAAGATAGGGATTTAGTAGTGAACCGAGGTACAGTTTACATAGATTGGCAACATTTTGGCCCGGGGAAAGATGGCAGGGAGAACACAGGCCCATGATTCTTAACCTTTCTTTTCCCCTATGTGCTTGATGGATTCCAGTCAGTAACCACAGGTCACCAAAGCTGTGATTAATAACCAAGAGGGGTCGGGGCAGGTGGGCAAAGGAGAAGAAGGAAAGAAGATGCTTGACCAAACCTTCCTAGGGCATCTCAGCAAACCTGAAAGCATAAAGCTGTGATTTGATTTTTTTCTAGCATCTTCCCTTTTCAAGAGAAAAATATTGAAGAAGCAATGATAAGTATTTTCAAGGTTACTCTACTAGTGAGCAGGTGATTTCATGCTAAAATTTAAATATTCTTGTCTGATGCCCTTTGGCATCCTAAACTGGTTTATCTGGAATCTTTAGGGCAAAGGTTTTAAGTAAAAAATCAAACCTATGATTGAAATTAAGATTTACTCCTCCCAGAGTTTAAAAGATATTATCTGAAAGTGAGACACTCACAAGTCTGCACTAGCTTTTTGGATCTTATTTGGGAAGCAAGCCTTTGCCAAGGTCAGACTGGGCCCTGAAAGGATGAACAGAGTGACTTAAGGTTTTCACCACTCTGTGCATATTCCAAACTTTTTTCCACCTGCCACTAAGACCTCAGATTAACCCTGTGCAGGCCTCTGGATGGCTATGGCCAGAGGAGGCTCCTATTCACTCTGGTCCCAGTACTTTGGATTGTTCAGTCACTTACTGAGTGCCTGGTATAAGCCAGACCCTACTATGGAATTGGTTAATACAGTGGTGAGCTAAACAGACATAATTCTAGTCTCTGTGGCAATTAAAGCCCATGGGGAGAGAGAGATTAATCCACACACATACACATGCACACACATATATACAATTTACTCATTCGATACATTTCACTGAATGTATGTATCATATATGTGTGCATGTATAAGATGATATACATATAATATACTATAGAAATGTCAGAAACAAAGTTTTTACTAACTTGGTGCTTAAAGAGCATAGTAGCGGTGACAGATAATAAGTAAGGGATTAATTAATTAACTCAACAAATAAGTATTGAGTGCCAGCCTTATGGAAAGCACTGTTTTCAGGTTTGTGGCTAAGAACATAATAGATCAAGTCTAAGGGAGTTTATACACTAATGAGTGAGTCACGCACAGAACATATACACATACAACTGTAAGTGCCAGGGAGAAGAAATAAGACTGGATCAAGGACAGTGGCAGGGGTTTCTGTTGTGGATATCATAGTCAAGAAAGGCCCTCCTTCCTGAATGGATGACGTTTGAGAAAAGGCCCAAAGGAAATGAGGAAGCAAACTTTGCAGATGTCTGGGGGAATGCACTCTGGAGCAGACTCTCATGTGTGCATCCTGAGAACATCAAGGAAGTCAACGTGAAAATGGGAGACTGGTGGAAAGGGAAGACTGGGAAGGAAAGGAAAAAAGGGAAGACTCGTGGAAAATGAATGAAGTTGGTGGCCAGGGGTCAGATGACGTATTTTATGATTAGAATTTTAGATTGGGGTTGAAAGTATGAAGTACTATGAAGACGATGAAAAGGACATGAGGATGGAGAATAATGGGGGAGGACCTATTTATTTAGACTGTACTGGTTAAGGAAAGCTTCATGAGAGAGGAAAATTTAAACTGAATTCTCATGTATTAATAAGATTCTTAAGAATGGCATTCTTAATAATTCTGGATAAAGGGAAGAAGACACTAAAAGCAACTAGTATGTGTATACCTTGATTACCATCCTATTAATACATCTATAACCAAACATATGATCGTAAAGAAAAATTACCAAGAAGTAATAGCACTTTAAGTATTCATCCTAGGATAGAAATATGGTTTCAGGTATCCTAAGAAAAATCTATAGATTTTTTGCTGCTTATTGCTAGGCTAAAATATCATATAATTAAACTTTCAAAGGCATACTGAGCATTGTAATTTACATGTCACTATGCAGAAATCTACATGTCGAACCAAGTGGTCGTAATGTGAGATAGTCATTTTTAGTCTAATTTTTTATAATATTTTATATTAGACAGTGATATAGGAAGTAGTACCTGTAACTTACCCTTGTGGCAAAGAGGAGAGGCTGATAAGGAGATTAGCGTGGAGTCTTCCCTGCCAGATCTTAAAATGTTTATAGCACCTCTTCTCTACACCAGGGGTTAGTTTGCCCTGATTATAATCTCTAAAACCAGGAATGACCTTCAGCTAAACTCAACAGAACAAACAGGATGCAGTCTATGATACTTAACACTTTCATAACAAAGAACAGGAATACTTCACTACATTCAAGACTATA